TGTTTTTTATTTTATTTTATTTGTGTTATAAAGTTTCAGCACTAGTTTACTTGGAGTATTTTGTTTGTTTTCATTCAGTATTGGTTGGGTAATTGGTTATTGACCAGTGCTGTCCAACCTAGTTATCGTTATCAATAAAATCCACTATCGGTTGACCTCTAAATAAGACGTTTGTTATACCATTTAATATATTTAAGACATTTTATTCACTCTCGTGCTCTTAAATACATTTTACAGTTCACACACATCTATTAGTCGCTAATGCGAGTGAAACCCTGTGAATCTTTGCGTGAGATGGAGTGTAACATGGAAAATGAAGTATTCCCGGGGCTTAAGGCTTCTGAAGACTTGTTATATAGTGTGCAAGCAGAGTTTTTTGTATCACTTAGGCCTATATACTATTATAGTGTTTATTAATATTTTAATATATTTTAGTTTAAGTTTTAGTAATTTTGTTATGTGCTTTTGTTATTTTATTAGTTTTTTTTAATATATACTTCTATTTAGATTAATAGCTTTAGTTTATTTTTATTTCAGTTTTAGTAATTTTAGTACTTCAGTTTAGTATTTCAGTTAGTTGCCAAGGTAACATGATGGTAGTAAAATGATAGTAACACATTTTTTTTTTAATTTTTTTTTTTTATCAGTGATCAGAATCACATATGACAAAATATATCTTTTGAATCACAATGTTCATATTTATGCAGGTACGGTGCTTCTATAGTACCTACCAAGACCCTATGGTCACCTTTAATAAAACTGTCAAACAGAATAGTCAGCCATGTGCTTCAATGACATGTTAATGGTACGTTGATGGATCACAGTTAGAGTAGAGCAGAGCTCAGAGAAAAACACTTGCTTATTTCCTCTCCTGATAGAGGGCTTCTTGGAAACACATGCCGTTAAAATGTTTGTGGTCACGATCTGTGCTCTGATGTTGTTTTTAACAAGCCAGTGATATTGGGAACCCAACATGGAAGAATTTATTGAAAACGTCTGATTTTATTTCACGTCTGCTCCCTAGTTGTCTATTTACTGGTAAAAAAAATTATTTGCACAGATTGCATATATTTATTCGTATATGGAGCCAAGCTATTAAAGACATTATAAAATCAAAATGAGAATTTTTAAATCAAACGTACATGTAATAGCGAGCTCCTAAATGTTGACAATAATCACACATTTAAAATGTATAGTTTTTCTTTTTCCAGGAAAACGGACCTAATACTCGTTTAGTTTCAAATACATTTTTCCTTGACATTGTGTCTTATCTATTTACCTAATTAGTTTTCCCTTATAGAATACATCTTTTAGGCCAAGTCAAGTCAAGTCACCTTTATTTATATAGCGCTTTTTACAATACAGATTGTATCAAAGCAGCTTCACTGTGATAACATGAAAATAATACAAGAAGTTTGTTTCTAGAAGAAAATTGGGTCATCGTCCACCTGAAGTAAGGCAGATCAATAATATTGTTGAATATTAAATGTCCCCAACTAAGCAAGCAAAAAGCCAAGGCAACAGTGGCAAGGAACCAAAACTCCATCAGGTGACAGAATGGAGAAAAAAACCTTGGGAAAAATCAGGCTCAGTCAGGGGTCAGTTCTCCTCTGGCCAACGAACGAACAGTGTATGATTATGATTCAGGCAACATTACAGGTCATAAGTAAGATTGGATCAGAACATTCACAATATTTATCTAGTTCCATCTGGTTGGAGGTCGGAGTCATCACGCCGGTATGGAGACGAGTTTATTGAGGTGTCCATGAGTAGCCTGGTCCCACCAGACTCTTGTACATTTCATTTGTACAAAGAGTCTGGCCTCGCTCCATTGACAAGCGTTAACTTCCTTGTAGGCGGGTACTCTGTTGAAGTTTAAAACTATTGGATCTGCCCAGAGTCACTCTGGATCTGCCATAACCAATCGCTGACATTTGGTCGGGACGTATGACGACTCAAATCACTCAAACTAGCGCACGACATCAACGTCATCGTTCTCAGCCACTCCCTCTGTTCGCTGATTGGACCGGTAAAAAATTGACCGGAGAAAACCAAAGAATACACCACAATCCCAGACGTAGTACTGAAGGAAAATGAAAATTGAGCGGAAGTACGTAGGAGGGCGGAGCCAGGCTAGTCCATGAGGCCTTCACAGGGCTGATGAGACTGGCACTTCAGGGATGTGTTGTGGTCGTGTCCAGGCGCAGGTTCACTGTCTGATCTGGATACGGCCCAGATCCGGCTGACTTCAGTAAACCTCGGAATAAATGGAAAGACTAACATTAGCGTAGATGCCATTCTTCTTATGATGTAACGAGTACATCGGGTGTTGTAGAAAGTGTCCCCAGTTCTGGCTGACCTAATCTATGCAGCCTAATAATCATTTAACTGATTTGAATAATGGAAATGTATAATGTTCTACGTGAATGACAGGTTTTTAGTCTAAATTTAAACTGACAGAGTGTGTCTTCTTCCCGGACAATGTTAGGGAGACTGTTCCAAAGTTTAGGTGCTAACTAGGAAAATGATCTACCGCCAGCAGTTGATTTTGATATTCTAGGTATTATCAACTGGCCAGAATTTTGAGATCGCAATAGACGTGACGGACTATAATGCGTTAAGAGCTCGCTCAAGTACTGGGGAGCTAAACCATTTAGTGCTTTGTATGTAGTCAGCAATATTTTAAAATTTATACAATTTTTAATAGGGAGCCAATGCAGTGTTGACAGAACCGGGCTAATATGGTCATACTTCCTGGTTCTGGTAAGAACTCTAGCTGCTGCGTTTTGGACCAGCTGTAGTTTGTTTATTAAGCGTGCAGGGCAACCACCCTGTAGAGCATTACAATAATCTATCCTTGCGGAATTTTTAATTGAAATGTATGCCGTAATTTAGATATATTTTTAAGATGGAAGTATGCGGTTTTACACATGCTAGAAACGTGACTTTCAAATGAAAGATTGGTATCAAGGAGCACATCTAGGTTCCTAACTGACGACGGAGACTTGACAGAGCAGCCATCAATTGTTAGACAGTATTCTAGGTTATTAAGTGAGGAAGTTTTCTGGCCAATAATTAGAATATCTGTTTTTTCAGAGTTAAGTAGTAGGAAATTACTAGTCATGCAAATTTTTATATCAACTATGCATTCAGTTAATTTTGTGAATTGATGCATTTCGTCGGTGCGCGAAGAAATATAGAGCTGAGTATCATCAGCATAACAGTGAAAACTAATGCCATGCTTCCTAATGATATCTCCCAAGGGTAGCATGTACAGAGTGAACAGCAACGGTCCTAGTACTGAGCCTTGTGGTACGCCATACTGAACTTGTGATCGATAGGACATCTCTTCATTTACTGCTACAAACTGATAACGGTCTGATAAGTATGATTTGAACCATGCTAATACAATTCCACTAATGCCAACATCATTTTCAAGTCTATTTAAAAGAATATTGTGGTCAATGGTATCAAATGCAGCACTAAGATCGAGTAAAACTAATAGAGAGATACAACCACGATCGGATGATAGGAGCACTATGGTACGGTCTAAATCCTGACTGGAAATCCTCGCAGATACCGTTTCTTTCTAAAAAGGAACACAGTTGTGAAGATACTGCCTTTTCTAGTTATTTTGATAGAAAAGGTAGATTCGAGAATCGGCCTGTAATTGACTAATTCTCTAGGATCAAGTTGCGGTTTTTTAATAAGAGGTTTAATAACAGCCAACTTAAAAGTTTTCGGTACATATCCTAGTGACAAAGATGAATTAATGATATTAAGAAGAGGATCTATGACCTCTGGAAGCATCTCTTTGAATAGCTTAGTCGGTATAGGGTCTAACATACAGTTTTAGATGATTTAATGGGTTTAGACAATTCTTCCTCTCCTATAGCAATGAATGAATGTAATTTTTCCTCAGTGAGACTACAACGCACTGTCTGATGCGATACTGTAGTAGACGGTAGCATAGTTATAATTTTTTCTCTAATATTATCAATCTTGTAAGTAAAGAAGTTCATAAAGTCATTACTGCTGTGCTGTTTTTAAAACGTCCGGTGTTGAAGTTTTATTTTTCGTTAATTTAGCTACTGTTTCGAATAAATGCCTAGGTTTGTGTTTGTTTTCTTCTAAGAGTGTTGAATAACAAGCAGATCTAGCAGTTTTTAAGGCCTTTCTGTACGCAATCGTGCTCTCTCTCCACGAAATACGAAAAACGTCTAATTTTGTTTTCTTCCAGCTACGCTCCATTTTTCTGGCTGCTCTCTTAAGGGCCCGACTGTGCTCGTTGTACCACGGCGTTGGACTATTTTCTTTAATCTTCTTTAAGCGCAATGGAGCAAAAGGAGGGAGGGAATATGCTTTTATTTAGTGTATTTAAAAAACAGGAAGTGACAGCCATTGCATTTTTATAAACCGTTTACTTCCTAAAAGGAAATCCGTTGCATTTGCACTTGTGTCAGAACATGTGAGATCCCACACTACTACAGCCTGTTTGTGTTCAGGGGTGGGGGAGTGACTGCATCTCTCTCTCTCTCTCTCTCTCTCTCTCTCTCTCTCTCTCTCTCTCTCTCTCTCTCTCACACACACACTCACTCACTCACTCTCACTCTCTTACAGCTCAAACTAATTTAGCATCTTGCCAGAGGAATGAATGTGTAGTCTGAAGAGGGTATTTCTTTACTTTCTGTCTGTCTGTCTGCCTCTCTTTTGTTCAATCTCTACAGACACTCTCACATGGATTTGAGCTGAATAAGCCTCCGACAGTAGAGTAGGATGGAGTCCAACATGCCCAGATTCTGAGCATCCTTATGATCGCTTACATCGGAAAAGCTACGATAACCCTACCATAAATCTCTCTCCTAGAAACTCCAAATAATTAATCATGCCTTTCAAGCTTACTTTAGATTTAGAAGCATCTGCAGTTAACAAAATACTTCAGCTAACACAGTTCCCAAGCTCCCACTGCTTTGTTTCTAATCAGATGTGTCTGTCCACAGCCTCAGAGTGTGAGTGGAGTTGAAATGAGGAAAAGGCAGCAGGGACGTATTGAAGGACCCCCACAGGCGCCTGGTCACCCGAGGCCCAACACCTGCTGTCTTTGCTGGTGTGGATGCTGCAAATGCCTCTGGTACGCCACATCGTTTCATTATGTTTTTCTGTCAGTAAAAACATGTAATTGTACTAGTGTTGTCACGATACTAGAATTTCTAACTTCGATACAATACCTTGAAAAATATCGATATTCGATACCATTTTCGATACCACAGAGAAAAAAATTGCCACAATATTAAAGGGGTATTTTTTGTATTTAAAGCTAAATATAACAAGTCTAGAACATGACAATGAGGTATATTTTACATGAACAAAAATGTCCCGAGTTCTATTTGTTAATATTTTTTAATTGGACCAGAGCTTTCATGATCCGTTGTATTTTTATTACCTACTGTTATCAAAGATTAAAATATACTGTAACAAAAAAGCACTTAACAGTATCAAATTGGAGGATAGAGTGTCAGTAATGTATAATAATAAGATTAAACATTCAATTTTCAGTTAAAGGCATTTCATTATTGAATTCAGAGATGCCATTGTCTAGCTGTTTAGTTTAATTAGTATCTGTGTAATCAAATTGATGATAATCGCTAATGAAGGAAAATTGCAGAATTAAATAATAATTTTTGAATAAAGTTAAATAGGCACAAGATAATTTACATTTGACCACAGTTACAATATTTACTTGTCTAAAATTCCTCAGTCAGATTATGTTAACTTTAAGAAAACGGTGAAAATACTAGACAACACAGACTCATATCAACAACAATACTAGGCCATCTTGGTTAATGTTTCAGAAAAGTTAAAATGAGAAGAGTTACAGTGTTTCTTTTAGGATTTTTTTAGCAGTGGGGGCAGGTCTGTCCAAATAACAAACACCCCTGATGCTGAGCATATATGCTGCTAAATGGTACCCCTGGAGCCTGTTCCTTAAGTCTGTTTTCACCTATAAAATAATTTTAAAAAGTGAGTGATGTTAGGGATTATTGATAGTCAAACAATCTTTTGGGTGCCCGCAGCACGCTCACAGTGTGAAGCGCGTGTCCGCGTATTCTCCGACATGCCTGCTCGCGGTGTGTTTTTTATGCGTGTGCGCGCTATTCTCCGACATGTCCGATCGCGGTGTTTATCAATCAACCAAAGCCGGTCGCGGGGGTGCCACCCTCGCAATCTTTCCATTCACTTCACGTTTGCTATTTAACCAGAGCGATGTGGTGTTTGTCAACGCGCCTTTGGAGAGAAGTGAAAGTGACCGCTCGGCAAGTATCGATACTTCGGGAAATTAGTATTGGTACCGTTCAGATATTTCAGTATCGATATTTATCGAAATATCGATATTTTTGACAACACTAAATTGTACTGTATGTAGATATTTGCTTAGAAATGAGTTTTACATAGAGCTGCGCAATTAATTGCTAAAATATCGTAATCTTAATTCAAACACCCATGCTTTCTTATTCCTAAATGACAATGATTCGGGCAAAGTCTATTAAACCTTTGACAAGTACGATCACAGTGGAAGATTCAAATCTGCGTTGGCGCTGCCACTGAGCCAGAGAGAGCTGTTGTCATGTATAGGTATGAAACAGTTTCATACAAACAGTCTTTTCATTATATCTCTGTTACAATAATTCAGATTATCACACAAGTACTTGGATAAAAGTTTATAGTTTGGTTATAAAAACTGATGTCTACAGTAGCAATCAAAATAGAGTAAATCACCTTTTGAAAGGAACTTGAGTTTTGACGCTTCGAATAAAGATTGTATTAATTACGTCGTTGCACCTGTAGGTGGTGACAAGTGACTGTTAAAAAAATGTATTTGTCATTGAATCATTCATTAAAGGTGCATTGCACAACATTTCATGTTAAAAATACACGTTTTTCTAACCCATACATGCTTAACCCTCTGGGGACCAAGAACGCACCCGTGCGTTTTGGCAGATTTTTTTCACATAGCAGAAAGATAGATTTAAACTACTCCATCATTTCTGGACATACAGAGTTATGAAACATATATAAAAAAACTGTTAAATGTCTACTTTTGTATGTGCCCACCTACAATCGAAATAAAAAATTGTGCTTTTGTAAAATAAAGAAAATAAACAGGGTGTGCGTTCTGCCTCTCCGTGTCCATGAACTTTTTTTCTGGAGCACGTCTCTTAAACTTAAACAAAACTCAGCGAATACTATTCACCCAGACATGAGCAATATATGTTTATGATCATTTAAGCTTGTACTTTTAAATTATCTAATTTAAAACTAAAATAAATATTCCCTGTTTATGTAATCTGTATAAAAAGAGAGAGGTGTCAGCCGTTCTCATTATCGTTCTCGCATCTCATTATTCCGCTAATGTGACACGCCCACGGAGAGCGCGCGCTATTCAAACGCTAATGATCTGAAGCAACACATTGAGACGTGTAAACGCCCATATAAACTCTGTAAACACACTATATTTAGTCAGATTAATGTACTGTCGTCTTGCGCGGCTGTAAGGAATAATCCTGGGACATTTACCTACCTCAGAACAAGTGCTGGTTTATTTTCACTTCGAGGAGCAAGCTGAACTGTAAGTGTTTTATTCTTGTGGTTTGTTCTAATCGCGATATATAATAACGTTAGTGTCTGTAAACGCAAAAATAGCCTACTGTTTAAATTTGAATCGTGTGTGTGACTAGTTTTGGATAGATTATAAAGTTTTAACTCTAAAATAGACATCAAATAAACTTTTGTTAGCAGTTTCTGCTCATATGTTAAATATATAGTATGTTTTGTCAATAAACTAATCAACTAAGAATAGTGTTTGTTCCAATGCAAGCTATATCAAAATAATGAATCCTTAACTTTGAAATATGTATGATAAAATGTATTGGCCTACTAAGACATTTATGGAAAAAGACAATTTTCTTTTCAAGATGTTTCCAACTCTAACTTTGAACCAATTCTGTAGAATGGCCCATATAACCTATTTGAACAGGATTTGTTTCCAGGTATGACTAAAAATGTGCTTTTGACTTTCATTTATATTTTGATTTTATATATATATATATATATATGTATGTCAAGTCAAGTCATCTTCATTTATATAGCGCTTTTAACAATGGATTGTTTCAAAGCAGCTTTACAGAGATAAACATATCATTTAAGGTAACAGATTGTTTTGGCGTTATAGCGGTTCTTGAATAATGTTACTTCCAGCTAAAGTTAACTTTGATTGATTCACCTCCGTCGAAATGATCAGACTTAAAACGCGAACCTGTGATTAACGCAGACGGCGTTCACATGCTCATTCAGAATTCTATAGTTATGTGCTTTTTAAAATATGTGCGCAGGTTTGTAATTCATACAACCCAGCCTAAACAAACTACTTTTCTTGCCTAAAAATTTTGATACAGAATTTTGTTTTATTTTATCACTTCGGGGTACGCGAGCCGGAATTCACAACGCTTTATCTGTAGAGTGGGAAAGGGATCCTCCATAGGGAGAGGATAGTGGATACTTCAGCACTGCATTGTCATCGGGTCCAGGCAAAGCTCCCTCGTCAGATCTGGACACGGCCTGGATCCGGCAGGCTGCGGGAAAACCTCGGGATAAACAAAGACACTAATATTAGCGTAGATGCCATTCTTCTTATGATGTAGCGAGTACATCAAGATTTAAGGGAAGTGTTCCCAGTTCCGGCTGACCTAATCTATGCAGCCTAACATTGAATTTATAGAAGTCTATAATGTATTATGTGTATGCTAGGTCAAAGAGATGTGTTTTTAGTCTAGCTTTGAACTGACAGAGTGTGTCTGCTTCCCGGACAATGGTAGGAAGACTGTTCCAAAGTTTTGGTGCTAAATAGGAAAAGGATCTACCGCCTGCAGTCGATTTAGATATTCTAGGTATTATCAACTGGCCGGAATTTTGAGATCGCAATAGACGTGAAGGACTATAATGCGTTAAGAGCTCGCTCAAGTACTGCGGAGCTAAACCATTTAGTGCTTTGTAGGTAATCAACAATATTTTAAAATTTATACGATGTTTAATAGGGAGCCAATGCAGTGTTGACAGAACCGGGCTAATATGGTCATATTTCCTGGTTCTGGTAAGAACTCGAGCTGCGGCGTTTTGAACTAGCTGTAGTTTGTTTATTAAGCGTGCAGGGCAACCACCCAGTAGAGCATTACAATAATCTAGCCTTGAGGTCATGAACGCATGGACTAATTGTTCCGCATTTCCCAATGAGAGCATATGGCGTATTTTAGATATATTTTTAAGATGGAAAAATGCAGTTTTACAGATACTAGACACGTGGCTTTCAAAAGAAAGGTTGGTATCAAATAGCACACCCAGGTTCCTAACCGACGACGAAGACTTGACAGAGCAGCCATTAAGTGTTAGACAGTATTCTGGGTTATTACGTGTGGAAGTTTTTTGTCCAATAATTAGAATCTCTGTCTTTTCAGAATTTAGTAGTAGGAAATTACTAGTCATCCAATTTTTTATATTAGCTATGCATTCCGTTAATTTTGTGAATTGGTAAGTTTCGTTGGGTTTTGAAGAAATATACAGCTGAGTATCATCGGCATAACAGTGAAAGCTAACTCCATGTTTCCTAATGATATCTCCTAATGGTAGCATGTACAGAGTGAACAGCAGCGGTCCTAGTACTGAGCCTTGTGGTACGCCATACTGAACTTGTGATCGATAAGACATCTCTTCATTTACTGCTACAAACTGATAACGGTCAGTTAAGTATGATTTAAACCATGCTAATGCAATTCCACTAATGCCAACATAGTTTTCTAGTCTATTTAAAAGAATGTTGTGGTCAATGGTGTCAAATGCAGCACTAAGATCGAGTAACACTAATAGAGAGATACAACCACGATCGGATGATAAGAGCAAATCATTTGTGACTCTAATGAGAGCTGTCTCAGTGCTATGGTACGGTCTAAATCCGGACTGAAAATCCTCGCAGATATCATTTCTTTCTAGAAAGGAACATAGTTGTGAAGATACTGCTTTTTCTAATATCTTTGACAGAAAAGGCAGATTCGAGATCGGCCTGTAATTGACTAATTCTGT